AGGAGGAGGAGGAGGAGGAGGAGAAGAAGAAGAAGAAGAAGAAGAAGAAGAAGAAGAAGAAGAAGAAGAAGAAGAAGAAGAAGAAGAAGAAGAAGAAGAAACTAGAGATGATGAACTGTGTCTTTAATTCCAGGAGGTGGGAAGCAGGGGGAGGCCATATCTGACTTTGAGGTCAGACAGAGCTACATAATGAGACTGTCTTTAAGAAAGAAAGAGAGAGAGAGAGAGAGAGAGAGAGAGAGAGAGAGAGAGAGAGAGAGAGAGAGAGAAAAGAAAGAAAGAAAAGAAAAGAAAGAGAAAGAAAGAGAGCAAAGCTTATTTGTATCTGTGTAAGAAGCATCTTCATGGAGTCACTCCCCACAGGGGAGTCTCCTTTCCCCACAGGACTCCCACAAATGCTTCAGGAGCCCTAGGGAGAGAGCAGAGTTCTGACCTGGCTTTCTAACCTCTATCCCCATTCCATTTCAAGGGCGACCCACCGGAGGGAGCTGCTGGAGGCTTATGAGAAACATAGATTCTCAAGCCTTATCCCAGGCTTCATGAATCAGAACCTTCCCTTGAAGAAGCTCCTGGTCATCCGTGTGTTCCTATCTTTGAACAGACACTGCCCTGAGCACCAAATGAGTGGCTGTCAATTTGGAGCCTGCATAAGGACTTCTCACCCCGCCCCATCCTCTGGAGGCAGGCTGCTGGCAACTGTGGCTGGCACATCTGGTGCTCCTCTCTGCCTACCTTGATGACTCAGACAAATGACTGAGTCAGATAGTTTGTCTCTCCAGCCCTTGAATGCTGCCTGGAACATAGCAGGCACTCGATAAATATTCAGTGCATGAATGCTGAACAAATCTTATGCTATCTTCTTTTTTCAATTAAAGCACTGGGGTACAGGGGACCTCTGCTTCTGGACATAAATTGCAAGTTATTTTGAAGGATTTTTGTGTTCTTAGTAAAGACTCCTGGAAGAACTTCCATTGTCTAATGAGCAATTACTGGATGCCAAGCCGGTGTTTGACACCATTGTGCACAAACTCCGTGTTTCATAAAGGATGGTTCACAGGCAAGAGCATCAAGAATGACCAGGTAAGGACTCTCTCAGAGAGATGGCTCAGTGGTTAAGAACACTTGCTGTTCATGCAGAGGACCTGGGTTCAGTTCCCAGTCCCTACATGGTGGTCTACAACTCCAGTTCCAAAGGGATCTAAAACCCTCTCCTGGCTTCAGTGGGCACCAGGCATGCACATGGTGTGCATAAATATGTGCATGAAAAACACTCATAAACATAAAATAAGTGAATCTTGGAGGGAAAAAGAACCACCAGGTAAGGGTGGGGGAGGGATAGGGGATGTAGCTCAATTGTTATACCCTGGGTTTAATTCCCAGCCCTGTATGGTGACCCATATTTGTAATCCCAGTAACTCCAAAGGTAGAGACAGGAGGATCAGACGTTGAAGGTCAAGTTATACAAAAAAATTTTTAAATGATAAATAAATATAAAGTTCAGAGTCATCCTCAGCTACATAGCAAGTTCAAGGCTACTCAAGATCCTATAATAATAATAATAATAATAATAGAAAAAGAAAATAATGATCAAGTAAGGCAAGTGTACTCGTCTATAATCATTGCACATGAGACACTGAGGCAGGAGGATTACTGCGAATTCAAGGATATCTTTGGCAACACAGTGAATTCTAGGCCGACCTGGGCCACAGTATAAGACTCTAGCTCAAAAAACCAGAAAGAACAACTAAGTGATTGTTGAAAATGTAGAGCTATAGATCCCTGCACCCTGCTTTAAGCCTGCTTATTCAAACCCATGGGTATCAGGCCAGAAATTTGCCACTCTGTCTCTTTCTCTCTGTGTGTGCCAGAAATCAAGCCCAGGCTGTTGAAATCTGCACCTTTTTTTTTTTTTTTTGAAACAGTCTCATTTAACCGAGGTTGACCTTGAACTTCCCATATAACTGAGGCTTAACTGAGGCTAACCTTGAACTTCTGGTCCTCTTGCTTCTCATTGAGCCATGCCCTCAGTCCCTGCCACTCTTTCTTGACAACCCAGTCAACTTTTTGCTTGCTTCACTCTACTGTTGTCAAAGTCACCAGTGACCTCCACGGTTCTGAACCTTCAGATTTTTATGTTTTGTCTTTTGAAACATGGTTTCTCTGTATAGCTCTGGCTGTCCTGATTTACCTGCCTCTGCCTTTCCAGTGCTAGGATTAAAGGCATAAACAACCATTCCTGGCTTTTTTTTTTTTTTTTAAGACAGGGTCTCCCTATGTAGCCCCAGCTGGCCTGGAACTCCTTATGCAGACTAGGATGACCTCAGACATGTAGAGAGCTGCCAGAATTAAAGACCTGCACACCATGCCCAGCTTCATGATCAAATGTTATTTGATCCGTCAGCAGCTTGGAACTTTCACAACTTTCCTCTCATCTCTCTGGATGCTTCTTAAACTGTTTTGTTTCTAAATTTGTTTATTTATTTTTATGAGTCAGGGTCTACATGAGCCCAGGTTGTCCTCAAACTCAGTATGCAGCTGAGGATTACCCAGAACCTCTGATTCTCCACCTCCACCCCTCTAGTGCTAGAATTACAGACACTCACCACCACATTGGTTTAAATGAGGTTAGGGATCGAACCCAGGGCTTTGTGTGTACCAGGCAGGCACTCTACCAACTGAGCTACAACCTTAGTCCCTTCTTTCTCTCTCTCTTAATGGTACCTTTGTTGGGTCCTCCTTTTCCAGATCTCTTAGCCTTATGGTACCCAAGTGCATCATCCTTGCTCTCCTCTTTCCATGCTTCTTTGAAGACCTCAGAGAGCCCTACAGCTTTACATAGCATCCATCAGCCCCCAGTTTGCCCAAGCTGAAACTTCCATGTCTAGCTGTCTATGAGAATCCTAAAGCTGGGCATTCAACAGGTACCTCAGGCTTAGTATGTCCGAAATGGAGCCCTTTCCTCTTCAAACATCCTCCTTCCATTTTCTTCATCTTAGGAAACAGAAAATTCATCCTCTCATTGACTTAAGACAAAAACTCTTGTAGCTATTCCTTTATTTAAAACAAAATTCAAATTATATTTTATTTATTTGTATGTATATGGACATGTGTGGGTATGCACGGACATGCACATGCCACAGCATGTGTGTGGAAGTCAGAGGACAGCATGAAGGAATTGATTCTCTCCCTCCATTGAGTGCATTCCAGAAACTGAATTCAGGTAGTGAGGGTTGGCTGAAAGTGCCTCTCCCTGCTAAGCCTCCCCACCAGTCCTTCTGATTTTCTAAACTCCTCTCTTGTTCCATCAGCAAATTCTGTTAAAATATATACAGAACCTGCTCACTTCACAAATTATCATTGCTGCTATTCTGGCCGAAGGTAGCCTCTGCCAACCTGAATGCTCTTCCTGGTTCAGCCTTGAGCTTGAAGTTTGCTCTCCATGTGATGCCTGGGCCTGTAAAATCTAGTGTCAGACCATGACACTTTTCTGCTCCAAACCCTCCATGCAAAGACCAAATCCCTAACAAGGTCCTACAAGGCCCTATAAAGTCTCACCCTTTACAGGCAGCACACTCTTGTCTAAGAGCATCGACATGCGAGCCCCTTAACTTTGTTAGTGCCATGGACTCGAGTACTCTGAGACCTACAGATTCCTCTTGAGTACAAGACCTTATTATTTTTGCAATACTGAGAATTGAATCCAGGACCTTAGGCAGCTTAGGTTGACCTCAAATTTACTGTGTAGTCAAGGAGGACCTTGAACCAGATCCTCCTCCATTATCCTCCTCCATAGTAGGATAGCAGGTGTGTGAGCCACCATCCTGCAGCCCTTGAAATAAGGTCTATGAATTATGAAGAAACATGATTGTATTGAAGTATAACTCTCTTGATATTTTCAAAATGTTTAACATACCAATATGTGTACTTTATTAAATTACAAGAGCAGCATGATTTGAAATAGTGATGTGTAATGATATTTTAGGGTATTAGTAACAACTGTAATGGAGTATGAAAATACCTGTGATTTTCACCAGCAATGATATCACAGGTGCAGTTAATAGCAGAGATTTGTTGTCTCTATTCATAATTGAAGAACATGTTACCTTTTATAGATGGAAATGAAGATGTGACCTTCTTTTCCCATCAAAATTCCACCCACAGACCTATGAGGGTACTCCAGAATGCCTCCCCCACACCCCACACACGCACACTACAGCTCACTTCTCACCAGCCATCTTCTCAGACCATCCAATTTAAAATGGTATCCCTAGATCTGATGCCTTCTTCTTGCCACATGAAACACATACATGCAGGCAAGACATCCATACACATAAAATAAATCTCGACAAAACTTACAATTGTACCCCTATGCTGTTTTGCTTTCCAATTGTATTTTTTACTGTAATAATTACCTACAAACACACCACCACACACCTGTAATCCAAGCATTTGGGAATCTGAGATGTAAGGATTATAGAGAATTTGAGGTCAACCTGGGCTTTGCAGTGAGTTTGAGGATAGTCTGGGCTCACACTTGATCATTCAGTAAGACCTTACCTTAAGCTTTTTATTTATTTACTTATTTTCAGGGCTGGAGAGATGACTCAGCAGTTAGGATCTCATTGCTCTTGTAGATGACTGGAGTTTTGTTCCTAGCATTCAAGTCAAGGGGCTGACAAAGCCTGTAACCCCAGCTCTAGGGTATCTCATGCCCTCTTCTGGTCTCCACAAACACCTACACTCACACGCTCACATGCAGGCACACATATACACACAATCAAAACTAGAATATAACTTTACATTTTTCCCCTTTTCTTCTTTTTCCATGTTTTTGGGTGAGGGCTACTCTGTGGCCCACTAACTCTGTTTTCTTATTTTGCTGTGTTGGCTGGCTTGACTTTGCTGTGTAGCCCAGGCTAGCTTTGAACTCTTGGCAATCCTCCTGCCTTAGCTTTCCAAGGGTTGAGATTATAGGGGTGAGCCATGATGCCTGGCTAAACAAATTTCCTATTTGTTTATTAATTAAGCTGTGTGTCTCTGTTCATCAGAAAATAGGTACCAAGAGATTGGGAATTTATTATCTTTCCACTTGAGCCTGTATTCACAGTACCTAACAAACAAAAGATGCCTTCTCCACAAGCCATTTACTCTCTGTTTTCAAAAAAGTTAATGAGTGGCTTGTGAAGTTTTTAGTAACAGTTATGGAATTCAAATTAGCTTTGTTATCATTTTGTTAACACTTCCAAGGTTCACCTTGGACAATAGCGCAGAACTGTGGGAAAGTTGGCCCTAAACTGGGGGTGTTTCCGAAGGACTCTTTAGGAGGACCTGGTCCAGCTCCAAGTTAGAGACCTATGTCAAGGACTAAATAGAGCAGTTGCTCTTGCTAAGATCAATCATCGACTATATAATAATGCTACTTTTTATTTCTGGTGTGCAGCAAAGGGCAACCCCACTGGGGTCAAGGTCATTTGGACTTAGGTGTCCATTCACCACTGTTGGCATTGTGATTACTGTTGAGTTACTGAAGTCTTTCTGAACAGGTAGATGGGCTTTTGTGAATAGCTTCCACACAGGGCACAGTAGGAAGCACACGCTCATGAAAAGCTCACCCCTCCCCTCTACCATCTCTCTGGGTCATTTTATAATTCCTCCTTATGACATTTTCCCATTGCAGTTCATGGGCTCCTGAAGGCCAGGAGAAACAACCTGTCCTGTCCTGTCCTGTCCTGCATAGAAGCCCCAAGTAACAGACCAAACCTGTGGGTGCCTTTAGACTCTGTGTCTATACCATTGTGCCTCCACCTACATCCCAGATTCATGGCTAGCACTGTCTTTAGGACCTTGACCATGTAGCCCTTTATTTCCGACAGTTTCCTCTTCTAGTCCTTTTTCTACCCACACTGGGAGTTCTTGTATGTATCCTCAGAGGAAAGATAGGCAGCATTGTTCCCGTGTTCTCACCTACAATGGGCAAGGCCCTGGTCTCAATCATTGGCAACAACAGCAAATACAAAAAGCAGGAGCTGGAGAGATGGCTCAGTGGTCAGGAGCACTTTCGGCTCTTCCAA